CCTATCTGCTAGTGTTGTTCATTCATTCATTGCAATAAAATATCTTCTTAAAAGGCAATGAAAGTTATAAAATCATTATTTTTTATGTGAGAAATAAGAATTTCAGACTCTAACATAGACTTATTTGGGTTTGCCTCGAGAGGCGTGGTTGGGGGTCTGGGAGCAGAGCCCCCGGCCCAACCGTTAGACTAAAAAAAAAAGCAAAAAGCGCAAAATTTTAAAAAGGTGAACACCGCCTAGGCATGCGCCTTTTGAAAGGGGTGCACCTAGGACCTGGCCTAGGTGCATACCCCAAAATGCGCCTCGCTTGTGTGCCTAGGCACGCCTTTTAAATCATTGGATGCACTTTGCATATCCCTCTCATTATTCATTCAACCACCTAAGGTAGGATATAATACAACATGACTAGCTAGAACATGCTGCATCTTGATGTTTTCTACCTTCATAGAAGTTCCATGAATGATAACATTTTGGAACTACCAGGTAAGATGAAGTACAAACAACAAATCTGGAGGAATGGGAGTGGCTTTGGTGGAAGTCATACTTCAAAATTAAAAACCCACTGACAGAACCATTGCAGGTCAACCGTTACTCTGACATGCTAAGATCCTTTCTTATGAAGACCTTAGACTGCATGCCCTTTATATTTTATTTTTTGGATGATCTGGCATATGGTACAACAGATAGCAATAATGTCGACAAATGCCTGTTTCTTCTTGAAATAGTAAATTCTCAGACTGAGAAGTGTGAGAGTGAGGGTTTGAGTCCAAGAGCAGCCACTTGTAAAAATTGCCAAGGTTTAGGTTTGTATCAAGTCCACCCTCGTAACCCCAAATAGCTGGCACCAACATTGGGTAATGGCCCTCTATTTAGTATTATTTTAAGTTATGGGGTTATCACAACATCAATAACATATAAAAGTTGCAACCATATATAGTTGTGCTTCCCTGTTGCCCAGATTTGTCTTACCATCTTGACAATTATGATAAATGTAAGATAATTAAGTGAAAATTAACTACTTAACCATCAACATCATCTGAAGTAGAGTAGTTGTGACTTCAAAATGGAGTTTACAGTCTTTAGACCATAGTAAAAGTGAGAAGAATGGAAATTTGGTAAGATTTGTTGGATTGAAGTCTTTGTATGTATGAGTATTCGGCTGATAAGAGTTCTTATTAGCCTATACTTAAGTTTAAGTTGTCCTGTACTGGGCCTTTGTTAATGGGCCTAATCCTGTTTAATGTTTTAAGTTGTCTGGGTGTCCCATCACTAATCAGGGGCATTCTAGTAACTTCCTGTATCATTGTACTACACCATAATAT